GGGGACCCTCCCCGCAATGTCGTGTGTGTGGGTGTGGGTGTCCCCGGTCTGGGTGTCGCCTGGTTTTCTGTTGCCCACCGGGACGGGCGATGTGCCCTCTGCCCCTTCCAGGCGATGCTGCGCCCACTGCTCGGAGCGGCGCTGAGCGCGGCCGTGTTGGGTGCGGAGGAACGTGTGGGAGGGAGGGAGAGGTGAGGAGGGGGACGAGCTGGTCGGATCTACCCACGGTCAGCGCTCGAGTCTGGGAAGGGGCAGGTGACGCGGCACTGGGACCCCCCAGCCCGTGCCTGGGTCACAGGGCAGCTGTCCCCCTTGGGGTGCAGGGTCTGGGAAGGGGGAGAGTGACAGGAGAGTGTCTTGCACAGCCCATGGTGACAGGATCCAGCGATGTGTGGGACGGAGCACGTGTCCTGTGTCCCGGGAGGGCCAGGAGCAGCCTCCTGGGATCAGGGAAATGATTTCAGCCCCGGTGGGAGAAGGGAGCGCACCCCCTGGGAGGGACCTCAGGGGACAGCCGCTTTTCTCCTCTTCACAGGCACATATAGAAACTCTGCCTGAAGCACAACCCCGGGCTCTGATGCTCTTGAGGCATCACTAGCTGTGTGCCTGGTCCCCGAAGGCTGCCCTGCACGCAGATCAGTGCTTTCCCTGCTGGCTCGGCTCGGATCAGGCTCTGGCCACCAGGTTTCAGCAAGAGTGGTCAGGGGAGCAGCAGCGGTCAGGACAGAAGGTGACAGCCTCGGGGGAAAGGTGAGGGGAGCAGGGAGCTGGAGCAGCTGGAGCTGGCGCTGGGCTTGAGGGGATGGGTGTTTGGTGGGGGCCAGGGCAGGGTCTGGGTGCCAGGGCTGAGTCAGCCGCAGCGCTGTCAGCGAGACCCGGAGGATGTACCCCCTCGCCGCCTGGGGCTGTCTGCCTTCCCCGGCGCTAAATGTGCTCATGGGTTGAAAATCAAGACTCTCTCCTGAGGAAGCCCCGTGTGCGGTGACTCAGCCACGCGCCGGCACCACCCGGACGGGCTCCAAGCACACTGAGTCACGGGGGGCACTAGGGCACCTCTCAAGGTTGGGGCCTGGGCAAGCCCTGACTCGGCAGGAGCTCTGTTTTCCTGGGCTGGTGCATCACCTCCTTGGGAGGGTGACCTCTTTGCCATCCACTTTGCACTGCTTCCATGTGGTGGCCCTCAGGGAGCAATCCAGCACAGCGCTCAAGGTGAGGAGAGGGGCAAAGGGCCAAAAGCAGTGAGGAAAAGAGCTTGGCAGCCATCCCTTCCCAGAGGAGGCAGCTGTCGGCCGGGCAGCGTGGGTGCGAGTGAGGCTTTGCATGTATCCTGCTCTGGGTGACGTCCCCAGAATGCCCACAGCCCCCCCACCTCCTGGGCTGGGTCCCACAGCAAGGACTGACACCTGAAGTGCACTGCAGCCTTTGGTCCACAGGAGAAGGGCCCGTGGCTAAAGCTCTTGCTCTCCACGGCCAAGTGATGTCCCTGCATGATGATGATGATGATGAGGGGCTCGAGTCCCTTCTCTTCCCTGCCAGCGCCGGTCCCATCCCCTCTCGCGCCCTTATCACTGTTACTGAATTCTCACGTCTGGTCCGGAGTCAGTGGTGCTTCTCGGGGCTCAGCACGAGGCTTTTCAGCAGACCGTGACCTGCGCTCCTCTTTCTGCTCCCCACTGGGGGTCTGAGCCCCAGGAGCGGGGCAGGGGCAGCCCCGGCTTTGCCCTCCACCCGGGACCCTTCTGCTGCTGCTCGGTGAAACCCGGTATCGACCGCTCCACCAGAGCCCCGGGCTCTTTCTCAGCTTTCTTAGCTAATGGCTGTGTCTGCCTCCCATTGATCCTCAGCTGCAGAGCTCATTGATTAAGT